GGGACCACCGAACAGAGATCCATCTAGTGGCAGGGAGAAGAATTTGAACCCAGGAACTTCGGATTACAAACCCAGTGTCACTAGCCGCCATATCCGGGGCCACATCCCAGCAAAGATGATATTCACATGAAGCATCGAGTGATTTTTACGATCAAAGTGGCATATATATTTCATCAGTAGTCATCTAAGTGGAATGCCGATTCTATGTGTGATTTGGCTTTTTTTATAAGACACGATAGGGTCATGTTTGAATTTTGTTATTCTTTCAAAGTGTAAACAACTAACTGGCAATGGCATTCATTTCGGCTATTTTTTACAACACTAAAATGTAATATGTTGAATGCCAAACCTTTTTTAAGTCTTCGTATTTAAGAAACAAGGCATTGGGATCATCCTTGTGCCTTCACCAGTCCAGAACATGGTCACACCACGGATTCAAACCCACTGAGATTCAATAGAGAAACGATTAAAGAAAGCGGAGTCATCATCAAGTAATATAAGTTTTCAAAAATTACAGCCTACAGTTGTCTTAATAACTGAGTATTTCTGGATTTCTTCACAAAGCCAGTGAGAGTCATAGCCTGTGAGACAGTATTCCCTTCTTTTTCTGCTCGGCGAGAGTTGAGCAGAAAGGGAAGGCAATCTCTGTTTGGCAGGATAAGAGATCAAGTATGCCATGCAATAAAATAAATGTGTCTAATTGTTGCGCGTTGAAAAACTCATGATCAATAAAATGGCTGAAGTACTTAGGGCACCAGTTACCGATAAAAATCTGTTTTCCATCTACGTTGCATGATTAGTTACAACATTGATTTGAGACGTCAGCTCCGATCTGCTAACTAAATATGCACTGTGTAGTGGATTGGTATTTTAACCGGACGGACTTTGCTTTTTAGACTTTTTAGCAATCTCTTTCCCAGTATCCGCGATCCTTTTGGTTAGTGCAAATGTAGCAAGGGACCGCGTTGCCTCATTGTTTGGCCGGTACCGGTAAGATTCGAGAGGTCTGGTAGAAATCAGAAGGTGAGCCAGCATTAGTTCCAGCAGTTACTCTCTCTACGCATGTTCAGAAACTGTTATTGATCGTTTGAGCATATGCGCCCAAACAAACCGGAACAGTATTTTCTGGTTCCGGTTTTTTATTTCGTCAAGAACGTCGTGTGTTCGGTCACCGCTGGCCAAAAATTCGCGGGCACCGGAGACGAGTTTGGGTTTTTAGACTCTTAGAACTGAACGCGCTAACAAACCCACCACTGCCTTCTATAAATAACTTGGCAAAAAATTCCCATGGCCCATTATATCCATTTCCGAATTTCTTCAAGCTTGTCACGTACTTGAAAAATGATACCGCGACATCTTTCGGATTCCTAGTAACGTAAATTATATTTACACTTGCCGTCTTCACTCGCGCTTTTAGGAACAACATTGTAGGGTAGATGAGTCTTTAAAATGCGCGGACTTGACAGAGTGTTGATATCAGGATGTGAACATCTTGTAACGGTTGCAAATTCAAGATACGGAACTCGTTCAAAAATTGGTTTGCCCTTGACTTGTCCT